CCCCCCACCCCCCATCAAGTCCATCTTCTCTTGTTTGTAATGCAGATATGGACGAAAGATACGAGTGTATGCTGAGAATTTGTCAGTATTCCTTCATTCTCTGGCAGCCGCCCGCATGGCTCTCGACAGGTGTCATCTCAGAGCCAGCTTGTTTTTGAAAATGATCCCATTTCCACCCCAGAACCCACCTGCAGCAGAGATTTGTGTGTTCTCACACACCTGCAGCTCCACTGACCTGGCTTCAGTTTGTCGTGAAACATCTTGCTTGTATCAGTTACACAAGAAAGACAAAATGAGATAATAAATGAGACAATAAACACCTAATTTCCCTCTGGGATGAATTGAAAACGATCTGATTGCATCATTAAAATGCAATGTTGCAACATTAAAATATAAATTTAAAATAACTTGCTAAAATAAAATACATGGTAAATGACTTGAACTTATATTTATTGCTTTATCAAGTCAATATGGACCCCAAAGCACTTCAATCATTCACACACTGGTGATGGTGCACACTGACAGAGGCAGGGCTGCCATGCACTGACCCACCGACCACCATCAGTAGACAATCGAGTAAAGTGTCTTGACCAGGGACACGACTGAGACAGCTGAAATGGGGGATCGAACCAGCAACCTACCGGTTACAGGACAACTCTCCTAATCACTTCGTCACAGCTGCCAAAAGTAAAATTACATATCTCAGCTTGTTCCAGTCAAAACAGGAAGTTGTCCCCTTTGTTTTCTTCTGTTGCCATGATGAGGTCACTTCCTGTGACTGAGACTGACAGGAACTAACTGAGAGAAACTTAATGAAGCAAATCGATGACTTTCAAACGAGTATCAAAGTCAACTCAAACTTTTTATTTTGCATCAACATTTTCTAATAAAATAATTGTGTTTTTAGATAGACTTAATGGTCAAATTTATTATATTTATTCAAAGACTGAGTCAAAGTGGAGAGATGAAGGATTTCAAAACGCAAATAAACCTCTGGTGTGGTTTAGAGTGACTGTAAAAATAATCTGTGAATATCGATGCTGGGGTTGGCAGGAATCAGTAAAAAGGCCAAATAAATAATTCAAATAAGCTTGAATTTGTAAAAGCAATCCCTGTAGCTTCAGTCTTCCCTCTCTTTGTGCTCACAGGACACACAGAGCCTCATTTTTCTGTCCATGGACACAGTCTGTCATTCCTTTTATTGCAAAGGATAGACAGGAAACCATGACGAAAAAAAAGATCATTAAAGTTGGTTAGTTTGCAGTTTTGGCTGCTTTACAGCAAATAAGAAAACAGCTGCTGCCTGTTTATCCTCTCTGAATGATTCTGGCTTTGTTTTTGTTTGCTTTTCCAAATTTTACATCATTAAAACCCCATATGCCTGGTTCTTTCTCTCTTTTTGTTCCTCAGCAGGTGGAATGAACACTTTTACAGCTGAAGCTTGTTTTCATTCTTATCTGTCAGACAGCATGTAACTCTCACCTACAGTGTCCTGATGCATCTCAGCAATCCAGGTAAATCAAAAAGAAAAAATTGTATAGGTCTTCTGGACGGGTTCTTCTCTAATGAAACGTTTCGTCTCTCCTCCAAGAGACTTCTTCAGTCTGAGAGTTTCAGGCAAAATTCAGACAGGGTGGAGTGATACTGGCTATAGCAGCGCTGTAGGAGGGGGACAGATGAAAACGGAGGCCTCCACCTCTGTTTAATGATGGACGGTCTTTCATCACAATCCTGATTATCCTGATGTGGCTTTCCTGAAAGCAGACAGGAAACAGACAGGATTCCATGCAACCTTCAGGTGAAAATGAAGACCCCAAACCAGTGGTTATTCCGTATGTTGCGGGTGTTTCAGAGAAACTGAGACGTTTATTTTCTAAACATGATGTCCCAGTGGCTTTCAAACCCCAAAACACATTACGGCAAAGGCTGGTTCACCCCAAAGATCCGGTGCCCCGGCACAAACAGAGCAATGTTGTATATGCTGTTAAGTGCCAGGAGGACAGCGACCAGTTATACATCGGGGAAACAAAGCAACCACTGTTCAAAAGAATGTCCCAACACAGACGAGCTACGTCTAATGGCCAGAACTCTGCAGTTTTCACTCATTTACAGGCCAGCGGTCACTCTTTCAGAGATGAGGATGTTCTCATTCTTGATAGAGAGGAACGTTGGTTTGAGAGAGGAGTAAAAGAAGCCATTTTTGTGAAGAAAGACCGTCCATCATTAAACAGAGGTGGAGGCCTCCGTTTTCAGTTGTCCCCCTCCCACAGCGCTGCTATAGCCAGTATCACTCCACCCCGTCTGAATTTTGCTTGAAACTCTCAGACTGAAGAAGTCTCTTGGAGGAGAGACGAAACGTTTCATTAGAGAAGAACCCGTCCAGAAGACCTATACAATTTTTTCTTTTTGATCTCACCTACAGTGTTCTAAAGTGAGTATTTTATACAAGTTAAAGACTGAATATTAAAAAAAAGACAAGAAATCACAATAAAATTCAAGAAACATTTATTTGTGAATTCTATGACAATCAGGGGGCAGTTAGATCTTATTTTTCGAGCTACCTTGGTAAAAACAAACATATCCACATCCTTTAAAAATGTCCTTTACGTTGGACACGATTTCCTCAATTTTGACGCCATTTTTAAATGTTTGACTTAATTTAAAATTTACCTATGTACAGAGGAAATGCTCAAGTGTTGATTACAGGAAGGAGAGAGCTACATATTTCCACAGCGACCCCCGGGTCAGATCAGCTGTCGACATTCAGCTTTTCTCAGAGAGGAAAAAAAAGGGGCGGGGGCAGAGTACAAACCTTTCCTTTCTTCGTTACAATACAAGGGCAAATGTGTACTCTTTTATTTTTTAAGTTAGCTTTCATAGCATTCTCCTTTTATCTATGAATCAAGCATCGTTAGAAAGGAAACATTCAATTACACGAAGCAAATGTACAGGCAGTCTCTAGATTTTAGCTACCATCATGAACAGCTAAGAATTTATTTACATAATCCCAGCATGTAATAATCCTTTGAACGGTACAGAAACATAAAAAAAAAATTAAACAGGAAATAAACGTGTTGCCCTCACAGGCTCACAGACATTTTGGCTGGTGATGTGTGACCTGTAAAAACCTTTTTTAGCTGATGAAATGACAAATACGCAAGAGGAAAAATACGCAGGACTTGAAATGTATTTCCATCTCTGTTGTGCAATATCTCACGTCGTATTAAATAAAACTAAAAGTCGAACAAAGATTCATCATTTCTGTGTTTTGAAACATTAAAATAAGAAATCCTATTCAACGTGCTAGAAGCATCGCATGGTCTAAAGCAGTGGTTCCCAAAGTTGGGGTCGGGACCCACAGTGGGGTCCCGAAATATCAGGGTGGGGTCCTGAAAAGATTTTCTGTATTAATTACACAAAAAATTACAACTGTCAATAATTTTTTTGCCTTTTTTGTTACAAAAAAATACAGTTAGTGTACTTAAAATGGACAAAAATAGCATAATAAATATTGTTACTATGCTCTTGTTTATTTGACGTGAAAACAATGTTCATCAACCAACAACAGCTGGGGTCTCAGGTCTCTGCTGCTGGTATTTTGTGGGTCAAAAGCTGAAAAGTTTGGGAACCACTGGTCTAAAGTACTTCATGGTTTCAGCTCAAAGACATTGAATCAAAATGCACTATTAGAATTTCTATTTTCATCACAGAAATGCCACCCTCCAATCTCGTCTCATATTTTACTCATTAGCTACACAAGAAGTTTTTAAAAACAGCTGCACATTAAAAAATGACAACATTTAAACAATTTCCTGATGTAAATAATTCGATGTTTGTAACAATAATAATGTGTCAAATATTTTACAATAAATTAGACATTTTAATAAAAACAAGACACTTTTTTTTAAGAGGAAAGGCACTAAAGTGGCCTTTATGTGTACAGGTTAGACTTATGAAATTGGGGGGAAAAATGACTTTGTTTGCAACTAATTGAATATTGTTATGATTAATATACAAAAAGATGTGGTTTGTGTTTAATGATGTCAGAGGTAGAACAGAATTTGGTAAACCTTCTGCCCAGAGTTTCATACATGTGATCAGAAAAACAAAAATACATGAAGTCATGTTAACCAGGTAAAATATATCAAAATCCCTGCCATACCGGGGTGTAACGATGTATTTTTTGTACATTGTGCAAGTTTTTTTTCCCGTTTTACACAAAAAATGTGTGTTTTTGACGTTGAAACACGTCACTAGTTTATATGAAATGCAAAATTAAGGGTTTCAAGAACGGATACAAAGCAATGGCTTATTATTTCTGACGTAAGTCTGCAGAGCATCTACAAACCACAAACGGTGCCAGTGGTAATTATTGTGGTTTGTTTATGTGTGGTAGGAGAGACTGGGACAACTGAATCACTACTGGCAAGACCAGTGGAAACAGAGGGCTCCAAACCTGTCTGTCTGCATTGTATTTTGTGCACAACTTTTCAAGATCTTTTTGTTTTATATACTGTATTTTGATAGATATTTTAAGTAGCCCAATAAAAACTTTGTGACCCACATAAGTTTAATTGACATTTAACTGATATATTTCTCACAAAAACTGATTATTAGGCCTGTTTTTCCTAATAATTTAAGCAGTGCCTTTAAGTTTACTCTTATTGACTGCTAGTATCTGACAAAAGCATATTTGGATAAACAGAATTTAACTGCAAAGACATGATTAGTATACTGATGGTGAGAGTAAAGTGTTTTTTTTTCGTATAAATAATTTAACCAGTCTCATTTTGTTTTCTTTCTGCTTTGTAACCCAGAGCTTTCTTTCAGTAGCCTAGCATAAAAATCATTGTAGCGGCTTCAAATTCATTTTCAAATAAACTCATTAATAAGTCCATTTAATTCATGATTCTCCTAAAACTGTTTATTATTTCTATTAACATCAAACACAGTGTCTTTTTTTGGCATTTTCCTTTGTGTTAATTTTTATTACTTAAAAAATGTTTTACTTAAACCTGCGTTAAGATGAATTTAGTTCTTCAAATCTGGCTTTTGACTGCAAATACAAAATAAATAAATAAATAAAAAAGCAGTGGTAGCTTCAGTTTCTTGGAAATGTTTGTAATACCTGGTATTTTGTGATTAAATGAACCAGACTGCTTGGGTAAAAAAAAATTATCTGCGGTGATTTCTATTTTTTATTTTTACATCAGAGAGTCCAGTCCTGTAGGACCCAGACCAGACACTGGTTTCATGCAGTTGGATTTGGACTCTGGGTGAGACAGACAGACAGACTGTGGGTTTTCCTCAGCGTGTTATTTAAACACACACACTGTTACTGTAATGCCCTATTTTAAACTGCTGAGTCATCAAACTGTGTGTTGGACTGCTACTCGTACACAGACGAGTGGATTCCTTGTTTTAGGGCAACAAGCCCACACAGCAGGTTTTTTTTACACCAAGTAGCACCAAGATAACAAACTAGAAACAAAAACCAGGCTAAAACAAAGAAAATATTACAATATTAAAACTCTCGTTATAAAAAGGTAATGCATACTATGTCTTCCTATAGCATTTCTCCTTCATTGTGATACAGTACTTTATTGTGAATTTAGGACAGGTTGGTTGTAAAGGCTGTTTGGCTTTCAGTGTGAGCTAACAGACAGTCTAACAGGCACTTTGATACGTTCATTAATCAGGAAAAACGACGACATATAAAGCAACTGAATCAGAGACGCTTGATTTGTTTATGATGCTCTCCATCGTTTCAGCTAACTAATAAACCTTGCATTCTAGTAGTTGTGCCAGACATTAACCTGAAATGCTTGCTATCTGGTCCAGTGTTAAATATTAAAGTTTGAATATTTAATTAAGTTAAAAAAATTCCTTTATCTATTTTTTTTTGAATTAGGTAAATCTTTTGGTGTTTTAACCACTCAGACTTCAGATAAACAGTTACAAATGTTCCCGACCTGTAAAAAAAAGTTTACATTGAAGCTACGTTTTTTTAAGTTTTGAACTGTTCAGTTTGAGCTTTTCTCTACCAAAACATCATAACGAATTCCTTCGTGTACTTAAATAAAAATAAAATAAAATAAAAAGAATGAAGGCTCCAGATGCACTAAAGTCAAGTTTTTAAACAAATGTCCGCCGTGTGGTATAACAAAAACGGAATGCAGTTTAAGTTTTTCAGATCCGGTACTCCGAAACGCTAAAAATACCTCTAAGTCTGAGCATATTGGTCCCAATTAGACCTGAATAAGGAAAAATCGCCAATGTGTGTAAACAAGTTATTTTATGTCAACTTTGGGTGTGGACATGTCTTCATTGATATATTATTCAAAGGTTTATGAATAATGTTGACATCACCATCTGCTTTTGAAATCAAGTTTCTTACTTTTATAAATGATGGTTTCAAAACTATCAAAAGGTCCAGGATCTGTGGTCAAACCCTCCAAAGAGCAGAGTGTACTCTTACATAAAAACAACCAAAACAGATTTTTGGCCGTTTTTGGTTTTGCTTATAAATGAGATCATTTTATGGTCTCGTTTTAGAGCCATTAGATCATTTAAATCCAAAGCCTGGTCCAGCTGGGAGACCCAACCCAACAGTTTTGGTTTGGTGAACTAACAGAGGACACGATGTGAGCTATCCGTCTGCGATGTGTGATCAAGGCTGGAATGCGTTTTTGTGCAAAAGCAATCGAAGCAGCGTGACTTTCCAGCACATCATTTGTGTTTCTACGTAGTTCATCACTCTGTAGATCATCTTACATCTCAAAGACGGAAAGTTTCAGAGCTTCTGTCTCAAAGTAAAACATTTTACAGCTACTACAAGTTTCATAGCTCCCAAAGTTTCATTACAACTTTAAATGTCTATAAACCTGACTTATGGCAACGACGATGATCTGAACTGTTTGTACCTAATATGTTGTGTTTTGTTTTATTCAGTCCTGACATCATGATTTAAGATCATCATTTGAGTCTCCTCAGCACATAGTAAGTATTGATTAGTTTGTAGTGGAGGAACGTGTCTATTTTCTGATCTGCTGGTAGTTTTGTGATGTTGGATCAGTCCTTGGCATCAGGAGTTAATTAGTGTGAAAATGAATGTGTAGGTGGCAGTGGGTCTGTCAGGCAGTCGGTGCTGTGTGCGCTCAACAAATAAGTGTGTGTGTTGGGTTTGGCAGTGCGCCTGTGTGGTAGGTGTGTGTGTGTGTACATCTGGTTTGAGAAGCTTCTTCGTGGCAGTAAGAAGTAAATGTGCGTCTTTTAATGGGGACATCACTCGTTACAGACGTCTCCTTTCTCCTCCGTCGGAGCCGGAGACTCTTGCGGACGATGCTTGCAGTGGCGAGCAGCTGCTCTGGACGGTCGGGCGAAGCAGGAGGACTGGGCGGCGCAGTCGCAGGGTGCATCCTGGGAAACAGAAAGGCGTGTGATTGCACAGCGCTGCGCAATTTCAAACGGAGAGAGAAAACTGCGCCGCTTCGGAGTTTAACGCGAAACTCACCTCCAGCGTTGTTCCTGCAGCCGCGGCGATGCTCGTTTCCTTCCCTCCTCCCATGATGCTGATCATCTCCTCCCCAGCTGTCTGTCTCATAAGCCTCTTGTTAACAATTCGGGTCACGCTGTCATTGCTCCCACCTAGCCCGGACAGAGCGCCCACACCCGCCGAAACACAGTCCAGCTTGGATTCATCCAGGCCGCCGAACCCAGCCGGAACGCCCACGCTTCCGAGGCCGGCGAGGGAGTCTCTTTGAGCTTTCTCCCCAGGCACGGCGACTCCTCCTGGGCTACGGCTGCTGCAGACATTGCGGAAGAACTCCTGTACCAGTCCTCCGTACTTCTGAGAGCTGGGGTCCGATCCACAAACTGCAGCTACGGAGGGCTTTCCTGCAGCGGGATGCTGCCGAGCTGGGCTGGCAGTCTGACTGGGTCCTGATGGAGAACAGGGATCACAGGTGTGTTTCACTAATGACAGACATGAGATCTGCTTAAAACAGGGTTCCCAGACCTTGGTCAACATCAAATTCAAGGACCTTTTAAGAACTTTCCAGTACCAATTTCCTCAAATTCTACTACCGCCGAATGTTACCAATTTAATTTCATGTAAATTCGATGAAAAACTGAACATATAAATTGTTGAGTCAGAATCAATGAAAGAAAGTGGATTAAATGTGTACCCAACATTTATATCTAAAATACATGGACATGTAATTATGTCCTGGGAGGTTCAGCAGCTCAGTTTGAGAGGAGGGGATGTGAACATGTCCAGACACTCGGTGAGGACAGGAGGAGCTGTGGTGCTTCACCTGGGCTCAGAAAGAAAGACCCGCCCTACTCTGCTCTGATTGGGTAAAACTATGACTATGGCTCACGTTATTTGTTGAAAGCCACGTCGGTTTACCGTAATCCTGTTATCCACCGCAACAAATGTAAGTTTTTTTAATTCTATTTTTTATCATTATTATTTTTTTTACAGATGATGAAAATCAGTCGAGTGAACAGAGAAGTTCAATCCCCAAAATCATTCAAGAACTTTCAAGGACAAGTGTAATTTTTAGCTGTTTTCACAAACTTTCCAGGGCCTTGTAATCATTTTTTCAAATTCACAAACTTTCAAGGGTTTCAAGGACCCGTGGGAACCCTGTTAAAAATATATATTATAAAAAATTCTGGTTAGTCGTACCCATTTCAGCCCTCCAAAGTGACTCTGTGCTACCAGAGTGCTCCACCACGCTAAAAAGGCTGGAGAGGCCGTCGGTGAGGCCGTTCAGGACGGGGCTGTCCCTCGTGGTGGTGGAGCGGGCCCACGCAGAGCCCCCACCCCCACCTATGGGCCTCTGCTGGAGGCTCCACAAGCTGCGGTCCCTGCTGGAGGACGCCCCGTCCAGTCTGGAGGTGGAGCCTGAAAGCAGACGTTCACTTTGTTACAACAGAGTTCTACAGTTTAGGCAAGTTAAATTTAAGACTTTTTAAAGACCAATTTCACAATTAACACAAATAAAGAATTAAAATTTTAGCAGAAACTCAGGAATCAAAGTATTTTTGGTTGAAATATTCAAATATTGCTAACAGACTAATTGTTTTCATCCATATCTAACTGCGATTTTGTTAAATATAGCAAAAAAACATTCTTAGTAGTCAGTTTTAAACCTCATTTAATTCCTGAAAATCCTGTAATACATGGGCTCTCAACCCCAGTTTGCTGTAGATGAAACCTTAAAGTGCCTGTGACATTAAATTTTTGTAAGAAATATGAATGCATTTTTAGGAAAGACATTACAAACATATTACAAAAACGAATTTCTCACTGCTCAGATGAACAGTTGTTGAGATACTTGCATGTGAAGTAACAGGAAGTGATGTCAAAAGGGAATGTTTAAATGCGAATATTTCAAAATTAAATAAATGTTTGCAATTATTTTAATATGTGATACGAATTACAGTCATCCAATTTACAATGTGTTAATATTTTTAAGACTTCTGAAGATTGATTTAAGACATTTTAAGGCTAATTAAGGCCTTACTTTTAGATCAATGAATTCAAGGCCTTTTAAGACTTTTTAAGGATCTGCAGGAACTTTGTACAATGCAAAAAAAAAATTAAAATAATGTTTTTTTAAATAAAAGTTGAGAAAGCGGCGCTTACCGGACGACACCCTGCGCTGTAATTTTGGAGATCCGTACTTGGGCGAGCAGCACGGCCTCTCGATGCGGCTGTGAACTTTATCCAGAGATGTCGAGATCTGACGAGTTCGGGCCGACGCCAGCGAGGAGGAGGTTGTCGATGACGGGCGGGGAGACCAAGCTTTGGATTGTAGTGCTGTCCCTCTGCTGCTGGGAAAGGTCTCAGTTTGTAGCCCGATGCTGACGGACTGAGCTGCAGTCTGTGTGGACCTGGTGCAAACACCAACAGGCTGGATAGGGAAAAAAAAATCAGAGAGGAGTTTGATGGAAACTTTATCGAGACGAATCCTAAAGAAAAGCCCTACCTGAGTCCCAGGTTCCTTGCTGGACTTCCTCTCCAGAGAAGAAGAGCGAATGGCCTGACGGACGCAGTTGGTCATTTCCTTCATGTCGTCGCTCAGGTTGGCCGAAATCTCTCCGATCTCCAGGCTGTGGAACGGAGACGTGGACGTGATCCCGTCCACCACTCTGTTAGCAGTCCCGCTGCTCACGCTGTTGATAATAATGCTGGGCATGGAACTGGAGATGCAGCTGCTTCTGCTCTCCAGCAGCTCCCGGTGCTGCTGGGACAGCGAGCTCAGCCACTGCTCATAGGAAGAGGTCAAAGAGGTCGCGAGCTGTTGGTGCTGACAGTCGGCGGCGGGCGGCAAACCAGCGTCGCGTTCCAGAGAGAAGCTGCCAGTTTGGACGTGATGAGGATCTGTGGCGTCCTGGTTATTTCTCCGGTGCTCCGTGCGCCTCACGGCCGGAGGGCTGTAGTAGATGCGGATGCCGGTGCGATCGGGAGCCGTGTAGCTCCGCCGCACCGATTCGGCGTCGAGCTGAGATGCGACCGAGCTGCTGTGTGAGCCGCTGGGACCGTCCCAGGTTTTACACGTGTCCATGATCTCTGGAGTCTAAAGGAAGAGAAAACAATCAAATGAATACTCTCTTTGTTTAAGATAAGATAAGATAAGATAAGATAAGATAAGATAAGATAAGATAAGATAAGATAAGATAAGATAAGATAAGATAAGAT